ACAAAGTACGCTTAAAGGGCTAATATATTACTTTATGAGGTATCTCGAAATGATTCACAATGATAAGCGCAGATATCTCGTCACGCCCCCTCAGCCTTTTCATTCATTTCTCCTTTAATTAACAAATTGATTCGTTCGTTCGTCTGCTATTTTCCTAGCAACTTTGCGAAGCCCCCCCCCTCCCCCCAATTCGTCTTCGCTTTACGCCTATGCCCTTTGGCTGGGTCCAGTTAGCGGCTGACCCACGTCCGGGCTGCTGTCCCTCCCCCTTCTTCTACCTTTTCTCCGCTTTGGTGCCATAGGACGTGATGGTGGGATTATTTCGGCGTTACACTTCTCTCGTTCTGATGCGTTTTCCTGAAGTCGTGTATGGTTTTCTTCCGCAGGGCAGTCAGGGATCCCTTACTCGCAGTTGTGACCGCCATGCCAACAGTCCAGTGCTAAGGGTGTGCAACAGGATGATCCAGTTTGCAGCCGTGCCAGTAGTCCGTGTGCGGCGCACCCACGCTCGATCATGAAACGCAGCCGTCCGAGTGGTGCGGTAGAAGAAGTTTGTCTCATCTAATCAGTTCAAGGAGCGTCTGAGAAGATACGCCAGAGATAGGACTTTTCGAGAGCACCCTGTGCGAAAAGAAGTGCATCATCTCTCACTCGGAGTTTAAGGAATAACAAACGCGGACCCACACAGGTCAGGTGCAGGTGAGCGTTTTCTGCTAGAAGACATTTTCAAAGCTGTCGCAACCAAACTTACGCATGGAAAACCAAACTGGAGTGTGCCTTTCTAATGCATTACATGCCAGGTATGGTCATCTATACAATTAAAGACACATTTGAGAACCCACAGCAGAGATAAACATTTCGGTTGTGCCGTATGCGAAAAGGGGTTTTAGTATACGGCTGATAGCGCGAAGGTTCGACTGATGACACACACGCACACTCATACAGACACTAATGGTATTCCCTTTAAATGCGAACAATGCGACGAGAATTTATTGCTGAAAGCGTCATATGAGAGCCCACACTTAAGTAAAGCTCTGCGATTTCAACAAGAAATTTGTGGGACCTAGTACCCGCTGGTACCTTAGATATAATGAATGACATAAAGCTGAATGCATACTGAGTGACGAAAGGAGTCTTAAAGTGAGGTCTATGAAGTGTACAACACACCGTCACCGTCATGCAGTTTGGCAGGCCGCGTACTGTGCTGCGGCTACACATCGCTATTTCCCTCGTGCTTTCGACCAGCGCGGCACCAGCGTGCTCCAAGCGAAGTCATGGGGAAGGCCAGGCGGGGATCGATTCCACCGCGCTGGCGCGGTTCAGAGTGGAAGGGGCGCGGCAAAGAGGTCACTATTTACTTCCTCAAAGTTGTTTCGGAACGGTTCCTTGCTGGAGGAATATAAGAAATTGCCTAAAATTGGTCTGAATCTTCCGAGGAGGAGGGTGAACTTATTTTCATGTGTGTGTTTTGAGACACTGCACCCCGCGAGTTGCCTCTGAGCGCCGCTGCTGCTGCTGCGCGGCCGGCCCGCCGGGCCACGCCCAGCCTCTCACCTTACTGACCCTTTGAGACGGAAGGCTTTGTCTCGAGCCGGGCCATGGGCCGGGCGGCTGTTGAATGGGGCTCGGGATGATGTAGCACAAGGTCCCCTGTACACTGCCGAAAGGAAGCAGGACAACAAGCGAGACTTTGCAGAGGTCACCAAGTGTGGTTTCTAATTGGGTGATATAGTTTTAAAGTTCTCATTTTACTTTAGTTTTGCTTAAAAAAGAAAAACACGCTAAAATGTATGCCATAACCTACACGGTTAAAAAAAATGGGGAAAACTTTGATGAACTCTTGTATGTGAAGAAAACTTCTCAGATGTCCCTCAGTTTTCTCTAACAATCACCTCAAAAGAAAAGAAAGAAAAAATCCAAAATGTTTTGAGGAGACGGTCGAAATCTGAGGAGTTT